TTGTAGGTGCCTAATATTGGTTGATACAACATGTATTAAATTAGTGGGGCCTGAATTATTATTTTTCATTGTTTTTTCTTTCTGTGATGTTCTCTCTTTCCTTTTCTCTAGCTTCAGGTTGTGATCGTCTTCCGGATAGTTTCCGTAGTTCACCAAAGGTCCTAGAAATTTTGGAAAATTTTGTGATCTGCTATTTTATTTTGAGCAAATTGTGAGTGACAACTGCGGACTGATAGAGATGATGTAATATTTGTAGTTCTCACTTCTCAAAACACTACCCACTGATAGATAGAGATGAAGCAATATTTTCTGGCATTTGATCTGTAGTTTTCTCAAAAGAATTTTTCGCTCTGATCTGATGTTGTCATGTCCTTTTTGAGTGTATTGTATTTTATGTGTCGTTCTTGGTCAAAATTAGTAGACTAAAACCGAACTTGTATCCAATAACAATTGTCATGGGCTTAACTCTTAGACATACTCTATATAATCCATTTGTAACAGTCCAACATAGCCGTTGTGCTTTCCTTTTCTCCTATAAGCTGTAAGTAATAAAAATAGAGTCAGTGAGGGATTTAGCTCCACGCCCACAAACTGCGCAACTAGATGAAACAAGCATTTTTCCCCTAGTACCTTCGATAAATTCAAAGCCAACATGGTAGTCGTGGGGAAAGTGACCGGATAGGATAGAATGGGAAGTTGCTGGCCGTTTGGCGCTGGTTTCTACCTGTGGTGGCTAGTGGGGAACAGCGAGGAGGCGAGAGAACAAAGAAAGGAGATGAGAATAGAAATTGGGTTGTCATTGTCTGTTTATTCCTTGATCACCACTACATATAAAGGAGATTACATCTTCATTCTCTTCTAATTAAACTCTTTCCTCTCTCTAATTCAAGCCTTCCTGATTTGATCCCTTGATCCTTTACCGCCTAATCAGCCCCTACGACAGGCGCCTATAGTTATTACTTCAACCATAACATATCTCCCTCCTTTGGAAAAGAGCTCGTGCTCGATCAAGGGTTTAATTTGTGCCTATGATATTTTCTGTAATATCATATTGCTTCCAGATTATAATTACTTAATTGTGATTTGTGCCATTGGCACACCACTTTTTGTCCTTGTCCTTTCATAGAAAAAATTATTTTTATGATTTGTGGCAACACATCTCGGATATTTGTCTTTGTCCTCCTGTAAAAAATGTATTTTGTTAATTGTGATTTGTGCTAGAACACACCACGCTTATATGTTGTGTTTTCTGCATGGTTTTTTGTGCCGTTGATTTTTTGAATCTCATGGTTTATCAGATTTAGTTGTCAAAGGGGATGAAATACTTGGATTTAGTCTTTGATCAGAGTATGATGTTTTTACACTATATTTCAGGTAGACACTAAATTTTACCTGCTAATGTAATTTTTTAAATGTTAATTTATAGTTGTCTCTGTGAACAGTTCACAAGCCACACTAAATATGCTTAACTCTTGTAAGCTGAAAGAGTTTGCCAGAACTCTAAACTGATGTCTATTCTAGAACTTGGGAAGAGTTAATTGCTAGGACCTGCTTGATGACATATTATGAATTTTACAAAATTGTGATTTGTGAATATGTTAATATGGAGCAAAATTGAGCTGCGTGGATCCTATTGATACCTTGTAATTTTGGTAGATTCAAATTTGCTAATGTTTTATCCACTTTCGTGTATTCTTTAAGAGCTATAAGCTTGTGTTGGCCTTGCCTCTTTTGTTAGTGCCCACTTATTTTTGATAAATGAGGTATGACTTTTGAATCTCACATTCATTCCATCTGTTTTTGTTCTTTTCCATAGCTTTAGTGGTACCAAAGAACTATTTCTGAGCATATGTAAACCAAATAACTTAAAGATTCCAGTTACATAATTGTAGTATGCTATAATATAAATTGCAAGTGTCTAGTACCGCAATTATAGTTCTGAGAATATGCAATATGTGTTGTTGAACCGTTTTTCTCGTTTTTTTTTGTTTTTTGCTAGCTGATATACCTGTCTTCTATAATGTAAATAGCAAGTGTGTCGGTCCTTTACTTTCTTGTGATTTGTGCTAGCACACACTATATATTTGTCACTTATGATTTGTGTTAGCACAAACCATATATTATTGTGATTTTGTGAACACACATTTGTCTTCTGCGTCTTTATCACGCCTTTTTGCCTTTTCTACGTAATTTAGTAAGCTATGAGTTTAGTAAACTATCTTTTGTCCCTCATTTTCTTGTCACATCAATACCGTTCTTCTTCTCTTCTTCTTCTGCTTTTGGCGGGTTGTTCAAGAAAACAGCTTGGTCTAGGGTTGATTGAATTCTGCCAGTATTATTTTGTGAATCAAGCTTTGATTCTTTATAATTTACCCATGTTGTTTCTATTTATTCAATCTGATCCCAAATGAGAATATGGGAATGTAAGCTTTAGTTTGTGCTGTTCAACAAACAGGAAAGATTGCTTGTGTGGCTGTTGAACAGTTTGTCATTCTCTCTATTTACATATTCATGAGCTCCACCATACTGTATATATATTGATATACATTTATAGTTTAATTGTATTAAGAACACATACTATTTGCACTATTTGAAATGTGCAATTTTCATATTTGTGTTTTGTAATTTCATCAATATAATGCATTACACTTAATTTGCATCTAAGATTCTGCAAAAGCTAACCGGATTTGAAATAGTTGGGTGCTCTAATTGCAAAGGCTAGCAACATCTAAAATAGTTGGATTGCTGATACACGCTGCTCTTATCTCATGCTATCTGTTGTGTCATGCAATGCAGGAAATTAGCAGGATCTGAAATAGGCTTGTTTGTAGCCTTTAAACCACAATTATGTGCTAGCTTCTCCTAAAACACATAGTTTTTGTCTATCGAATTCGTGTGTTTTTAGGCAGCCAACAACTATGTGTTAGCTTTGGTCTGAAACACATGGTTTTTCCTCCTCCGTTACAAATCATGTGTTTTAAAGCTAGCAAACAACCATGCGCTACCTTTTGCTGAAAACACATAGTTGTTAGGTAGACAGACTTTTTTTCTTTTTTTTTGCCGGCTGAGACTCCTGTGAAAAAATACGTGACGACCCGCAGGCCTGCAGCCCATTAGCACAAGTCTAACTGTCTCAGTATCTCTTCAGCCCATTAGCAGCAGTTGCAGGTCCAGATTAGAATGCCAAGCGTTGGCTTGCTTCCGGACTCCGCTACAGCTCTTGGGGGCAAAGGTGCATGCCCGCACCCTTTTCATCTTCGTAGCATCTCACATCCTCTGCGGGGGCTATTGCCGATTGGCCGTGACCGTGAGCGCGACAACCGCAAATCCCAGCGGGCAGCCGCCGCCGGCAAAAGCTTCCTTGTCTCCTTGCGTAGTTACGTTCCATTAAAGAACGTGCTCTTTCATTCAGAGTTTCAGACTTTCAGGCCAAGATGCCAAGTATCTAATCTATGCTAATTTACTAGTTCAGTATGGCTTGCACATTAGTAACTACTATGCTTTTTTATGATATGACTAATTTGATAGGCAATCAGAGTAAATTGAAAAGATTCTTTAAAAGGAAATTACCACCGGTCGCTGATGATGAGAATAATAATGGAGACACTTCAAGAGCAAGAAGAGATGGAGATGTCCCTGCAGCAAACACTAACTGTACTATTCAGCGCACTTCGCGGATAGATGTTTTTCGGCAATGAAAATTGTGAAGACAATACTGAGAAATCGTATTAGAGATGGATTGATGAATGATTGTATCATATGCTTCGTAGAACAAGGATTTTTGGCTACAATTCCAATTGACGATGTGATAGTTCGCTTTCACAGAATGGAGGATCGTAGTCATCGGGGGACACTGTAAGAGGTAACTATTGTTGTGATTTTTGAAAGCTTATTTTGTCACAACATGCAGTTATTATCATATTAATTTATGTTATGTATGGTATTATATTATCACAACCTATAAGTTAAAGCTCGGATAATACTGAGTGTATATATCGACCCGGCAGCCATTTTTCCTGGCTTCGCCCCTGGGCCAGATGAGGGTGTGCCATGCATTTTGTCGCTCGTGACACCGACCAGTCATTAAGAATACATGGAAGTACTAGCTGCTTAACGTTCTAAAAAAAAGAGAATACTGTACATAGAAGTACAGGCAACTGCATGGTGGGCAAATACCGACCTGGCCTGATGAGGCAATACTTGTTGAAATATGCTCAAATAGGTACGGAGTATACGAGATTAATCCCTTGCAGTCCACTTCCCAATATGAAGGACAAACAAATGATCAGGGAATTAATTAGTGTGTGTTACTATAAAAGCGTGCCTAGAGCGACTTTTTCATGTAGTGTAACGCTCCTACCGAATCCTTTTTGGCATAAAAAACATTTTGGGAGGCGTGCAA